ATTACACACGTTACTTCAATATACCTTTTCTAATCGAAAGTTGACTTTCAAATTTATTAGTAAAAAAATGCTTAAAAGTAAATATTTTATGTATTTTTTATTCCCTAATACAAATGTTTAAAAATGTTAAATGTTTAAACGTTACAAGATTTCGTAGACATGGCTCATGATCTCACCTCGTTTTTTTTCCATAAAATAAGTTTCTCCTAGCGCTTATATTTTGAACACCAAGTTTACCCAGTTACATATCAAATTCAACACTACTTGTTAGCGATCATGGGAGTTTCACGCCCTCTTCAAAACCATCACGACTACACTTTAATCTTTAAATATTTTATTTTTTTAATTTAACAAGCATATAATGAACGGTGTTAGTTAGTCCGGTGACCATTATTATTGCCTTTCTCTAGCTATCATAATATACTTTATTACCTTTCAGTTAAGTTCCCGGTAATGTTGTTGTATTTATCACTGCTGATACTTCATTATTTATCGTTAAGTAAACTTACTGGTGTACTCGTTTTTATATCTAAATGTACTTTTACTTCTCTACTAGCTATTGGGTTTGGGCTTGATTACTTTCGGCATTTGGTTCTATATTAAGACAATGTGCAAATTTATGTAATCAGTTTTCCCCGGTCATTCGCCGTTATCAGGGAGAATTCTATAAAGATTTTCTTGTATTAGTCATGTTCTTAGTGAACCAGTGTCAGAACTTGGGTGTAATTTTCCAGATAAGTAGCTAGTATGTGACTGTTTCGTCTTCTTTGTAACTTCCATTTGTCATTGTTCATGGATTTGCACGGCTCCTAACACATGAACGATCACAAACCCATTAAGATTTCATGTATTACTTCAAGTATTTCTGAAGCGAGCTAACGACTGGTGTTTCTATACGTTTTGTAGGTAATGACCCACTCCAACTTTCTTTATAGTTAGTTTCAAAAATATTATTGGTTATAACGTTTAAAATAATTCTGAATATTTTTAAAATTATTTTTACT